CCTCTCAAGGGATGAATTTTTTAAATGAAATTTGAAATCTGTCGATGAAATTTGATGTAGCTTTCAATGACATTCCTGAAAACGAGTTATCATTAAAGCCGTGAAGCATTTTCTGGTGGGGCTCAGGAAAATACTAATTTTTTTGCAAACTCTGATTCAAAATTATTTTCGCTAGAAACTCATCATTTCAGTCCAATATGAATGTATATAAGTTTTCGTTTGGGTCCCATGGTCTCTAGCAGAGATCGAGAATACTAGGAAATCCTGGTTACGCCACTACCTGTCACTAAACAGGACTTCACACCCATTACAAGGATAAGTCTGAGACATATGAATGAAAATAATATCTGAAGAGAATTGTTTCGAAGTCAGTTTTTCCGAAGTTCTATCAGCGTCTTGTATTTATTTTCACAACATGTTCGACGTGATTGTAGTCTGCTGTACTCAGTGTAAAAATTTCTATGACGTTGATAGTAAATCAATATGGGGATTCCTTTCATCTACGCCAACAGTCTCAATTCAATCAAACAGCCCTACCCTATGAGTCTGATGAGTGATATAACTCTTTACATTGGTAGAATGCATCACGGTATAGGAAAAAATCTAGTCATTCACAGTGCTGCAGAAGGATCCTGATAGTTCATGAAGAAAAATACATTGAAGAAAGAACTCTACTTCGACTGTTCCATGTGACGAATTATTTCACTGATGAAATTTTTGAAAAATGTTTTTGCAAGATCGATTGATCTCAATATATGAATTTCATAGTTTTCTTTAAAAAGATCGTATTTTGAATATTTTGCAGGAGAAATTGTTTTTTGAAAAATTCTGATTATCATATCATTCGATACAGGATTTTATTCTCTACAAAGTAGCTTATTTATTTTTAACTTTCACTCCTGTAGGCAACTTTTACATTGTTCTAGAGTCCTATAATAATAACCAGCTTCTGCTTCGCGATAACAACTTGATTTTTGTACAGTGGTTATCTGTAGAGAAAAGATCAACTCTTGTAAAAATCAAATCGATCTGAGTACGTTAAGTGACCCGAAATCAATCGACAAAAATAAAAGTGTCATAGCTTTACGTTTTCTTTTCTCATTTTTTATATGAATAACGAGAGCTTATGTCACAGTGTTATGTGACTATATACCATTTTGTAAACTAAAGAGTTTAAGCTAAGACCATCAAATTGATAGTATTAACGGAATTCGTCGAGCTGTATCGAATGATGTTAAAATGAAATTTCTAGCTGTCGTGATTTTGGAGATGTTTCAAAAACGTCACAACGTTACACTTAGACGAGCCGATTGACTTTCTAATGCATAGAGACAAGAAATTGAAATTCTTGAAATGTAAAAAAAGAGGGTGTGTGGATGTGGGTGACCTTCTTTAGCGGTCTACTCACATCCTCAAGAAGAGATCAAATATAGACTGGTAACCCTATCGTAGCATGGCTGTGGTGTAGACCTCAATTTACACCGTATTCGTGTTCTTGTTGGCTAAATTCGTTTTTTTCCTTAAGTTTACTCTTTGCTTGTTTGAAACAGGCGCAACATTTTATTTGATATCAAGAAGTACCATCTTCGACAGGGAATCTCCGACAAAAAAAATGGAGAATTTTCCTCAAATACTGGTCTTTCGTCAATATATCAATGATGTAACACCACCATTTTCTGGTCAAATTCATTTTCTCACATATGTCGTATATCTAATCAATTGTTTTAAATGTTGAATTTCATGCTCTAGCGGATAGAGTTGCCCTCAACAGAGGACGCTAGTCAAATAAGTACCTGAGCATAAGATACTCGGTATAAACGTGCCTACTAGACACACGAAGGATTAAGTAGGTGACTCCGTGCTGGAATCTTCTACGATCAATCTCCTATCAGTTTCTAATACTAAGATATCCATAACATACATATTCTCAGCCATAAATTACCCACATCGATACCCTCAAGAGCATGGTGATTAAAAGAAGAGCTTCATCGTATTTCATATTTCAATCCTATAGAGATTGCGCTAGTAGTTTTTATCATTTAGTATAGAGGGGAATAATCAAGTTAGCTCAAGAAATTGACGATTTTTGTAGATTTTTAAAAACTATTTCAAGCAACAAAATAATTTTCAAATATGGCTTCCAAATACGTCGGTGATCAGGAGTCTCAACGCAGACAACGATATTCAGACATTGATGAAAATCCCCGTAGAAAGCTAATACCAATTAGTGGATATGAAGCATATCCAATAGTGACATTGGAAGAGGCTGTTGAACCTCTAAAAAACATTGTAGGCAATGTCAAAAATAATGCTGAATGGGCTAAATGGAAATGTGAAGAGACACCAGAGGATAATCTAACCGTTGATCAATCAGCAGCCATTATTCTTTATACAATGGAACCGAGTGATGAAAACCAACGTGTATATTATGCACTCAATTCAACGCTTCGGGATGAGGATCGAAAATGTCTGAAACCGTGGTTTCTGTATCTGCGATTATTACTATCTGCACTTGCTCTTTTGCCAAGCCTTCACACTCATGTATACCGTGGAGTTAAAGGCAACTTAAAAAGTGCATTGAAAATAGGCGAAAAAATAATTTGGTGGGGATTTAGTTCATGCACTTCAGACTTGAACATACTGAACAACGATCAATTCCTCGGTTCAACAGGAGTAAGAACTTTGTTCAATATCGATTGTAAAACGGGAAAAGATATTAAAAATCATTCAGCTTTTCCACATGAAAGTGAAGTTCTTTTGCCGGCTGCTAGATGTTTTATGGTTATTGCATGTCTTCCACAAGGCACCGATATGACTATTATACAATTGAAAGAAATCGACTCACCTGTTAAACTTATTGATCTTGGACCAGAAGTGGTGACTAAGCCAACCACGATCGTATTGACAAGATAAATACGTTTTGATTTTGTATTTCTAGAATATTGTTCCGTCAACTGGAACAGGTACAAGCAATACAGCAACAGCATCGATTACCATGAGGTAAATAAATATCATTCTAAAATGTTAAAAGCGTGATAGTTTTGTTTTTAGTTTGTCAACATTGAAGATCGACAAACATATCACAGGTTAGTTTTTAAAATAAATCTAGATGCTGTTACTAGTTTCATTGATTAGCATTGTTTTCGATAATGATCAATATTGTGATTAAAAATAGAAGTATTTCAATTCAATTCATAGACAGAATTAGCGGATGAGTGATTTTAGATGAAAAAATGTTTGAAAGAAAAGTTTAATACGAGCCATCATGCAGATAAAATGTGATAAGAACTCTAGGTTGCTCTACGGATCATCACGATTAATAAAACGTTAGTATCGCATTGACGGCAATCGAATACCGTGTAATATCAGTGGTAGGGGTGTCCGATGTTTTCGTTCAGTGTATACTGGCTGCAAAGAATTAGTGGTTATTTCCCAATGTCCGTTACAGGCATTGTTTCAACACATTGAGCTTTTATGCTACTACTCCACTGATCGATATATACGAGATTCCTATGCGTTCTTGTTCCAAAGAATTGGATATCTCTGATCATGGTGAGACTTTAGTTGAGTTCACAAACTCTAGAGATATATTTTTACTTTGTAATAATGTATATACGAACCATTAATGTGATAGCTCTTATATAGATATATGAAGGAAATATGTAAGGAAGGAAAGAGAGATATATGAAGAGCGAAAGAGACAAGCAGTGTCACTGATGTTATGTGGCAGAACGATGAAAAAGATAACCTCTGTGGGAATCGAGCCCACATCTCCTGCTATCCGGGCAGTTGTCCTTAGCCAGTTAGACTAGAAGGTGCAGCTTAATCATCGTTTAGTGTCCATGTGATCCATCATGGACATTAACATAATGATTCTTAGTAAGTCGCCTATTTCATTAGCGGAAGACGTTATGGTCTGGTACTCCGAAAACTAAGAAAAAACTTAATTGACTTTTTAATGACTTTTAGAATTTAGACTATTCATCTTTCCAAAAATATTCATCATTTTAGCATGTTCAATTTTTTCCACAAAGTCCTGAACGTTTTGAGACTTGACTGTTTGTTTCACGTTCACGAAAAGATAGGAGATCCTGTTATTTGGTATGAACATTTGATTTTTAGTTGATCGAATAGTATTGATCGCCTTTTTGGCGAGATATTGAGAGCGATAATAATTGCCAGCTCTGTCAGAATTTAAGCCGAAGAGGTAAATAAGATGAGATGGTTATCTCATAAACTTCATTCAAGAGGACAAAAGAAATAGATGACGATCAATGATATCTGTTGAATTCCACATACTAAATCAATTGAATTAGTATATGAAACTATAATAGTATTAAACAACAGCATGTGAAGCGTTGAAATCTGATTAAAAAATTACCAATTCTTTTATCGATCGACGCAGTTATGCATTTGTCTGACAAATTTGATATTTTTGAAAATGAATCCAAACTTCACGGCACCATTCTCTGATTTAAATTACAGTTTAACTTAATATTGATAAGAAGAATACTACATATAAAGACTGTGAATGCTTTCCAGGATCAGATTTATATTGAGTTAAATAGACTTCATTTGTCTGAATTTCTAAACTACTATATGCCAGTCCAATATGACTTACATTAGATTAGCTGATACAATGAAAAGAATACATTAGACAATCACCTTAAAAACATTAGCAGATAACAGAGAACGTCACAGGACCTCCGTCCTGTAGGACCTGC